TTTTAACCTTTAAAGTTGTAAGTGAATTATGTACCACCAGGACTGTATTACAGAACTGACCAACTAAATTTACCTTGACCAGTGAGTTTTATGTTCCCTGCTCATGTTTTTATGATGTTAATTGGCATTTTGTTATTTCCTCCTAGAAAACCCCTATTGAGCATTTCACGGAGGGCAGGCGTGGCGGCGGTGAGTTCTGTCCACTTTTGTTTGTTAAGGAAAGTGTTTATCTCCCCTCATTTCTGAAGGATAGCTGCGTCAGGTATACAATTCCTGGTTAACACGGTTTTCTTTGTCTGTAAATACTTTGAATACATCATCCTACTCTCTCTTGGCCCCAAGAGTTTGTGGTGAAAAATCACCCCATATAAGGCTGGTTCCTTCTGTGTAACTTGTCTGTTTTCTCTTGTTGCTCTCAAAGTTCTCTTTGTCTTCGACAATGTAATTATAACGTATCTCACCGAAGCCCTATTCAGGTTCAACCTGTTTGGGGTCCCTTGAGCCTCGTGAATCTGGACGTCCCTTTCTGTCCCAGGCTTGGAAGCTTTCAGTCGTTATTGCTTTAAATACACTTTTCTATCTCTCGCTCTTCTCCTGGAATTCCCACAGTGCGGGAATAATTCCCATAGGCTTTCTTCACGCATTTTTCTTTTTGCCCTTCTAGTTGGAAAATTTCAAAGGTCACTCACTCTTTCTGCATTGTCAAGTCAGCTGTTGGAGCGCTTGAATTTTTCTCCTCAGGGGTTATTCAGTTCTAGGATTTCTGGGTTATTTCATGGTTTCTTTTTGTTTTTCTTTTCATCTTGCTTGTGTGTGTTAAGAGCATTACTCTGAATTTTCTACGTGATCGTTCATAGACATCCGTTCGTGTGTTGTACTCAGAGCTTGCAATCTTGTGGGGCCAGCAGGACATGTGCTTGAGGGCGTGCTTTGGATTTCGTGCTGCCTCCAAAGGTCATCTGGCCTCTCTGAACGTGTTTGGCGATGAGGCACTTCTGCTAAGTCGCTCCAGCAGAAAGAATTTTGGTCAGTTTTGGATGATTTCACAGCTTTTCTTCATGGGGCATGAAGTGAGGTGCAGCTGAGGTCGGGGCAAAAGGGACACCTTGTTCCGTGTGAAGCTCATGTTCTCGTTTCCACAGCCCAACTTCTTGGGTACCACTCGGGCTATAGACAGAACACATTCTGTCTTCGTTTTTCTGGCTGTCACTTCTCCGAGCCTGACCGTGGTTGTAAAGAACTCTGGAGCCCCGGATCCCGTGTGTCCAGGAGGCGCTGGGCCCGCCTCACCTGTTACAGGGTGTGCTGCCCCCGGATGGGACGAAGATGCCCGACAGACACAGCCCACAGTGGCTCTGCACCGCAGGAGAAACTCAGGTCCTCGCGAGCACACCCAGTCGCGGGCGTCCTTTAGAATGGTGTTCGGGCCGGGGGCCCCTCTGAGGTCGGGCCCGCTGGGACCTGTGGGGTGACTGCAGTCGCGTCTGAGTGCGGCACGTGCGACGTTCCCTCGGGCCCTCCCTGGCACAAGGCGCAGATGCCAGCGAGGGAGCCTGCCGTCGAGCCCGGTGCGGGGAGCATGTGTTCAGGACCAGAGTCCGGGCTGAGACGACCCCCTCCCGGCCGAGCCCGGGTCTGTCTGCCCTGTGGCGTCATGGGCGCTCACGCAGAACTCCTTGGCCGTGTCTGTGTCTCTGCTGTTTATCATCTCAGTGTGGTCACTCCTGTGACTTGGCCTCTTCCAACGGCTCATCCGCGCCGAGCGTGTTGCTCGCTTGTCCTGACGACTCGCGGTGCCTCCGAGGCCGAGTCCCAGCCGTGACCCTGGACGAGCGCGCGCTGGGCGGCGGAGCCTCGCTCTCGTGCCAGCGGCCCGCGCCGAGGGGAGGCGGGGTGCAGGTGGAGGCTGGCATTACGGGCAGTCCGCGCTGGGCCGTGTGGGGCGGAGATCGGGGCGTGCGGCCTCCACGGGCTGAGGACGTCGGTGTGTCTGCGGGCGGTGAGCGTGAACTGGCCGCCGGGGAGGCGCGGCGGCCCGAGGCGCAGAGCGCAGGCAGGGAGCGCGTTCCGTGCGCCGCGCCGAGGAGCCGAGGTTCTTACTCCTCGGGCTGGCAGTTTAAGGCGCTTCCCTCGGGGTTCCCGTTCGCTGGCTGTGTGGTGGAGGCGGACGTGCCCTTCGGCCCCCGCTGCCGCCCCCGCGTCTTACTGAGAACGGCGACGCCCGGCACCGCGTGAGCTGAACGCGTAGGGCACGACGGTGTGAAGTGATGCCCACACCCCGCTCGCCTGACACCCGTCTTGTCGGAAACGTTTCCGCTGTGATGAGCGTCCCGGGGCCCGCCGTGCTCCGTTCCAGCTGTCGTGCGCCCGCACACCCCAGCGCTGGTTTCTCAGCGCCTGCACCTGTCCCCTCCCCCAACCTCCTGCGGCCGCCGCCGCAAGTTCTTTGGGGACAGCGTGGTCTTCTGGTTTGGATTGCACTCGTGTGTGAGACCAGGTGGCGCTGATTCTCAGCACAGTCCTGTCCGACGGTGGGACCCCTCGTTGTTCACGGCCGAGAAACAGCCCGTGCACGCACGGGACCCTTCCGCTGGCCATCTGCGTCCTTCGCTGTGAAGCCCCCCAGGCGGGCGCCCGCTGCCCCGTTTCCCGCCGCGCCTTCACCTGTCAGGAGCCTTGGGAGGACGTCTGCGGCTGCTGGGCTCCCCGGCGACTGCGCCCAGAGATGCTGTGAAGGGTCGACGTGAACGGGGTCTACCCCCGCGTGGCGCGTGTCCTCGGAGCAAGCGCGGGGTGGGGGTGGCGCCGCTGTGGCGGACCAGCCCGGGGGGCAGGTGTGACGGGAAGGACCTCAGCCCCTCAGGAGGCCCACTGTCCTCGCCGCCCGCGCCTATGAGACGTGCCCCACAAGTCTCTGACCGTCCGGGCAGGAACCCATGAGCACCCGGCTTCGGGGGAGGCCCCTGAATGCGGGGCGAGACCGACGAGTTCGCACTGGGAATTCGGTGACGGCCCAGGGAGTTGTGCGTCCGCGAGGACGCGGGGCGGCAGGAGGGCCTGGGACTGAGCGGCCCGTGTGGGGCCCCCGGGCTGGCAGGTGCCTGCTGAACCAGGTCCCACGGCAGAGCTGGTGGAAGGACGGGGCCTTCCCAGACCTCGTCGGGGGGTGAGCAGGAGCGCCTGCGGGGAGGTCCCTGCTGGAGCCTGGGCTCCTGCGTGCTGAACGGACACCCGTCCTCCCCCTCTGCTCGGGCTCTTTCCGCCTGGGCGGCATGAGCGCTGCCGCCCCGGCCTGGCACTGCCCGGCCCGTGCAACGCGTCTGCCGGCCTCCCGGCCTGCTGGCTGCTCCCCCCGGCACCCCCGCCTCGAGGCTGCCTGCATCCGCGTCCGTGAGGTAGGCTCCTGAGGCCTGTCCCCGCGCGGCCCTGACCGGTCCCCACCCCTAGTGGCCCCGCGGGCTGGCGACCCAACCTCTGTGGCATCAGAGTCTCAGACGCCGAGTCAGCACCGTCGCGCCGCCTCCTGGTCCAGTTTCTGGGGTTGCTTTAGGTCACGTTACGTGTTTAACGTTTCAGAGCGTTAGGGTCACCGTCCTCCAGGCCCAGCTGTACGACCCCAGGCGCCGAGTGAGTTCACGGGGACCTTCCTTTCCCTCCGACGCTTCCTTCTTCCTAACGCAGACCTTGGGATGTGCGCAGAGCCAGACGCCGAGGGTCAGACACAGCCTGACGCGGTGCCTTCCTGTCCGCCTCGGGCCGAGGGGCCGAGCAGACGCCGCCCAGCCTGTTCCTGAGCGAGGCGACCGGGCCTGGCCGTGGGCTCTGCAGCCAGGGGACCGCGTGTGCGCGGAGCTGGCAGAGGCGGGACGAGTCTGTGCTGTTGTGCTCGCCTGAGGCTCCAGGGTCACCAGGTACAGAACCGTCTTCTTTCTTTCCTCCATCGGAGTTGACCTTTTTCTAACCTCCTGTTAGGTTCAGGGACCAAGTTTCCGAGGCTGGAAAGAAGTGACTTCTCTGTTTAATAAAGACGACGAACAACACCTGCTGGAAAGATGTAAATCCCCCAAGTCCAAAGGGTAAGTGTCCGTGGGTTCCGGGGGGGGGGGGGGGACGGTGAGTGGACAGAGACGCGCTGTGCTCATTTTGATGCTGTGGCAACAGAAGAAAGTAGGAAGTGAGATGCGCTTTCCCAGACCAGCTCTCGAACTCGGGATCGGAAACCACTCAGCCCTCAAAGCAGCCTCTAGCCATGCGTGAGAGGTTTACTGACTGCAGAAAATCCGGGGGGAGAAAAGTTAAAAATGCAAAGGATTGGTGAACTGTAAAAGATTTTAGAAAATTGAATATATTTAAACTGATATATTGCTGTTTATTATACACAGAATTTTTAAAAGTCTATTTAAACATGAAAAGATAAACTCAGTGAGAGCTGAGTGGGATTGCCAACGGCGTGTTTGACGAGAGGTGAGCCTCAGGGGGCCTGGCCGCAGAGGAGGAGCTGCTGTGGGGGCCAGGGGCGCCCAGGCTACCCCACTCCAGCCCCACGGCTGGGACTCCTCCTCCTCACCCTCCCGCCCGCCCCACGGAGGGCTGTGGGCCTGGGTCCCCAGGGTCAGCGTCTGTGGGGTCCCCCAGTCCAGTGCACGGGACTCTTGGGGGGTGCGGCCTGGGCCATGCGTGCACCATGGCGTCCCGGGGATGCCCCTGCAGTCGGGCCAGAGGGACAGCGGCCTGTCCCCGGCCCCCTCGTGTCTGAGTCTTATTTGTGTTCAGCAAATTACCCACTCACTGCTCTGTGTGTATGTGAATAGCTGTTGAAAACGGATTTGATAAATGGAGTATTTGTCCCCATATTTCTTAACTAGGAGCCTGCATTTCCTGTTTTCTACTTTGCTCAAATACTTGAGTATTTCCTTGTGTGAAAACTAGCTCTTTGTGTACGGCCAAGTGTAGTACCTTAAAATACTGCTTTCACGGTTTCCCTAATACGCAGTGACGAATTTTTTTACTAATTTTAATTAAAATTCTTTATTACAGATTTGTGGTCACTTTCTAAATGACTTAAATTTTAAAATAGTGTTAGGTGTATACGGTGGACACTAATTGAGGCCCTGAGATCACTGGTCACCAACACTTGGCTGTCTTGTCTCCCACAGAACTAACTTGCGGTTAAGAGAGGAGTTGAAGACAGAGAAGAAGTCTGGATTTTGGGACAATTTGGTTTTAAAACAGAATATTCAGTCTAAGAAACCAGATGAGATTGAAGGTTGGGAGCCTCCAGCGCTTGCTCCTGAAGATGTGACAGCCCACGCGGGTGACGCGGCGAGTGGCCGTCCCCCTCGGCCAGGCTGGGACGAGGACGCCAAGGGCCGTAGCAAGTACAGCAGCCTGGCAAGCTCAGGGAACAGCTCCCGCTGGAGCCTCCGGTCGGCCGGGAGGCTGGTCGGCATCCGACGGCAGAGCAGGGGCCACCTGACCGACAACTGGGAAGAGCTGGAGTGACCATCCGGCCCCGCTGCGGACGGGAGAGGCGCACAGAGCCGAGTGTTCCCAAACCACAACTGACGCGGCCCCTGCGTCTTCTCTCCCCGTGCCGGTCTGAGAGTTTGCGGTCTCACGCTGTGTTCGTTCCCATGTCCGCTGGCCCTTCCCACGTGGACGAGAGCAGAGCACCTTCTCTGCCCGCCCGCGTCCAGACGTTCCTGTCCGTGGCTGACGGAGGACAGCCCCAGCCGGCGGCCGCCTCCTGGGAAACGTCTGCCCCTTCTGGTCGCAGCGCTGCCGGACGCGGTCCTGTGGGCTGTGCCCTGTCCTCCCCTGCGTGCCCTGTCCCCCCCCCGTGACCCCCATGTCCTGCATGTGGTGTCCATGTGTGTCCATGACATTCGACTGTAGCGGCGGGGCTGGGCCCTCTTTTCTTCCCAGAAGCCCGTGATCCAGCTGTGAAGCCATTCTTCCAAAGGTTATGTTAAATTGTGTTCAACCTGGCAAATTAAACCTTTTTTCATCTAAATACCAGGAAAGCAAAGGTTACATTGGATGCAGCACAAAATGCCACTCTCCGCAAAGCATCTTCATCACTTGCGCTGGGAGGGGGCGTCTCCCGCGTGCACGGAGGACGGGGACAGTGGTTCTTACTTTAGGGTTCATCTTACTCATCCTGATCTTCGTGTTCTTCTGAAAATGTGTTCTGCGATTGCAGGTTAAATACCGTCAGTGTGGATCAGGTTTAGCAACTTGATTCTCTGATTTGTTCTTGGAAAACACTAATTTGCTGATGGAGTTAAAACTGTAGATAAAATACTGCAAGTGCCTCTTTTCTATAATGTGCAGGTGTTTGGCTTCCAAAGTGAGCCAGTTGCAGTGGCCAGTGGCGGACGCCCAGCACGGCCGGGTCCACAGGTGGTGCCACGGCTGCCCGAGGCAATGGTGGTTTGGAGGGAAAGGTTTAGGGTGTTTCTGATTAAAAACAAAAACCTCCAGTGACACTGTGCACACCTCCCGTGAGAAAACACGGTCCCCCGTTGGCTCCGTGTGCACGTCTGTGCCACGCAGTGAACACACCTGTGGGAACCTGCGCAGGTCCCGTGGCGGGACTCCTGATGGTACAGCATCAGTCTGTCCTCCATCCATCCGTCCATCTGTCCACCCATCTTTTCTTACTAGAAGCTTACTTGACGGAGTTTTGAACGGGGGGCAGGTTTAAGTGGCATGAAAATCAAGATCCGGTTTGTTAGTACCTTGAGATGCTGGGGGTGTGTCTGGTGATGCTGGTAGATGTTGGTGGAACAAGTCCTCAGGGAAAGGGCTCCGTAGGCAGCGGCGGCCCCCACGCGGCTGTGACCTGGGCGCGTGTGTTGGAGCCCGAGCTGCAGGCGCAGGGGAGGAGGCGCTGGGTCTGGGACTCGGCGTGGGCGGAGCGGAGTCGGGACCCCGAGACCCGCTGCAGGTCGCTGCACCCACGTGTGGCGACGCCAAGTGCCTGTAACTCACCTCCGTGCAAATCGGTGACGCAAGGCTGACGACAGTCCTTCATAATACGGTTTCTCAAAATCTGAAGACGAAGCCAGATCGGAATTGGAACGTGCACTGTAAATCACATTTTTCTTATCTACAAAGATTAATGTAAGAATAAACTTTTTCTTCTGTTGTATCTGATTAAATGAAAATAAGTATGTTTGCGGTTTTTAATTTATTTATTGGTGTGCTTTTGGGAGAGAAGTATTTTTTCTGATAGAATTTACCAAAGCAACTTTGTGTTGTTCACGGCTTAACGAGGGAATGTGGTTTTGACTTTGGGGTTCTTGTTTGCATTCTGTGAACACACGACTTCACTGTGTAAAGAGCGAGCGGTCTCTGCTCCTTCTGTTGCTTACTTTGTAAAAGGAAAGTGATGGGCTTCGAAGAAGGCAGAATTCATTCTCAACGCTGAGGTTTTAAAAAAATAAAAGCATCGTTCATTTCCTCTTTCGTTATTAGTCTGCATGGTTATTGGCATCGACTTCGAGGTGACTCCTTACGGTGACTTCAGTCACAAAGCTGATGGCACTTTTCTTGATACCTGAAATCTCATTTAAAAGTGCAAACAGTACACGTAGACTATTTCATAAATAAATGACCAATTCCAACCAAAGTTTTTGGGATGTATCTTTGGCATACTTGAGCCGCCTGCTTCCACCGTCCTGCCGGTAAGGAACCAGGGGGGCGTGCCTGTGCTCTGGGTGGAGTTTAGGGTCAGGAATTAGAGCCGCACCCAGCTGAGAAGCCGCGAGCATCCCAGCAACAGTACTTTTAATCACCCTTGTCTTCTGAAAAGATCACCGTCTCTTACAAGAAGGTCTGTGAGGAAGAGTGGCCTGTTCCAGAGGAGACAGGTATGTACCTCAAAAACTGGGCACGCACGCGGCCAGCCGAGCTCTGCCTCCGGGCGCAGGTCCTTCAGGGAGCAGGCGTGGGGGGCACGGTGCCCGTCTTGTCCTCGGGGTCCTGCCTCTGGAGATTTCCTTTCTTGTCTCAAGGGAGAGCTAGTCCACGTCCTGTCAGCGAGGGGGCCAGAGGACCCCGCCTGGGGAGTAGGGTTCCCCTGTGTCCAGGGAGCCGCCTCCGCCTGCCCCTCCCAGGTTACTTCTAGCCACTTCCCGACCTTCTGGTTCCGTGCTTACTCTTCAGTGGGTATTTCTTGGCCTGAACAGAAGACCAGCAGGGCTCTCTATTCAGGAAGCTTTGCAGATTAATTCGCGAAGACAGTTTTTTTCACTTTGTGATCCTTTTAAACAAATGTTCAGAATCACCCACTGGGTGAGGAGCTGAACGCCAAGGTGAGCTGGGGGGGGGGGGGGGGGAGCCGAGGAGGCGTCTGCCTGACCTTTCCTGAGGGATCCGGTGCGTTCCCAGGGGTGGGGAGCCGTCTGTCCCCACGTTCTGGTCCCCTGTGGCTGTGCCGGCAGCCGGCAATCCCACCAGCTGGCCCTGGGCAGGTCCTCGCCCCCAGACCCCCCAGGCCCCACCTGCCAGTCCAGGCGCTGGCTCACCAGCCCCGGGCTGTCCCACAGGATCCGTTCCCGGGCCCAGCCTGGGCCTTCTTGCAGCCCTGCTGGAGTAGCCCAAGTACAAGGGGTTCACGGGCGTGCCCCCCGCCCTGCGCCCCGCGGCCGCTGTGCTGCCACCTTCACAGAAACCAGGGCCGAGGGTGGTTTCTGTGCTGGTCAGACTCCCCGGGGTCGTGGGATCTGTGCTGTGGGGGGGTGGACGGTCCCCTGCGCCCACAGAACGTGCTTCCCAGACCCCCAGCTGAGACCGCGGACACCTGAAGCCACAGGGCACCGGGAGCTGGTAACTGAGGAGCCGGGCACAGTGGTGGAGTCGTGTGGACGCTGTCCCTCTCAGATACCCCGCGTCCCCACAGAATGCCTGTGACAGACGGAGGGAGGGCAGTGGTCGGGCCTCAGGCCACAGCGGCCTCTGGTGCCGTGGCAGGAGGGGCCCGATGGCATCGGTGGCTGGAGGCGCTGCCGCAGAGGCCGTGAGCCCGGCGACCACGGGGACTTCAGCGAGGGTCCATGCAGTCAGAGACCCTCCGGCGGGTTTCAGGAGCGCCCACACTGCGTGCTGGCCCTCGCAGTCCCTCGGTGCGTCCCCCACTTGGCCGCCCAGCTCCCTCTCCATGTCGGTCTGCTCGTCGGCCTTGAGAACCACTGGCGCTTCGCTCCCCGCGTCCCCGGCGGCGGCAAGGACCTCTGGCGCGCGTCGGGTCCAGAGCAGGGTCTGCGCTGTGCGCCCTCGGAACGTGTCACGGGATCACAGAGCCCACGGGGCCGCGACAAGCCCGAGGCCCTGGCGGGGGGCCGCAGCGACAAGGCTGCCCCTGAGGTCAGTACGCGGGCCGGCAGGTGCCGCTTCCGCCCACAGGCCTGTGAACCCAAACCCTTCCTGTTCCGAGCGCTTCCACGCTGTCGAGATGAAGCGCTGCTGGTGCCCCTCCACCGACGAGCGGTGGCCCTGTGGCTCCCGGCCGCGCTCCCTGGGGGCCTCCTCGCGGTTGAGGGCTGGCTCCGGTCCGCGGCTCTGCTGGGACATGGCAGACGTGGCATCCCCAGGGGCCCGTGACGAGGACAGCGCGGCAGCGGGATGGGCGCCCCGCCTCGCGGTGGACGGCGCCCGTGGTCCCTCGTGGCTCTCCCCCTGCTCACCTTTGTGACGGGCAGCGCGGCAGTGACTTCCACCGCGAACACCGGGGCGCTGCAGCCCCGAGTGCTGTCCCCGGCACCACCGGCCGGATTACTGGTCCTCTCCCGACGCCCACATGCAGAGTTCTCCAACTGGCCGGAAAATGTCTTTTTAGCTCCTTTTAACTTTTTCCTCAGAAGCAGGACACGGGGTGTGAGCTGTTAAATGCGGCAGGTTGGGGGTTGGGTGTCCTCACAGCAGGGAAGGCCAGGCTGAAGGCCCCGGGTCCTGCTGGTGCCCTGGGGACCGGGCTCCGGGCGGCACCACCATCAGGACGCGCCACGTTTCTGTGCGGCCCGTGGCCTCCTGCAGGGATCGCACAGCCCCCGTGGCTCCCCGGGCTCCGCCAGCCTGCCTCCCGGAACAGTTTGTCAGAGAACCTGCCGTTCGGATCTCGCCGCGAGGCCCTCACAACCTCTGCCTCTCGGTCCGCGGTCTCTCCCGTGTCCAGCAGCAGCTGTGCTGGGCAGCAAGCCTGTCACCTTGGGTGGAAACATTTACATAATTAACACGGTCTTCCAGAATTGCAGGTGAGATGCGGTCATTTGGGTAGCATTTCAGCTTTCCAAATAAATGATTATTATTGATCTCTTTGGGATTACGTCTATTGAATGTCATTTCCTTAGTAAGTCAAAATCAGTGTTGGGGTTTTAGGAAAATATTTATAGGATTTTAAATAGTACAAAGTTTAGATAATTTAACTGTAATTTCAAGAAAGCTGAACGAGTCTGGAAGCAGAGGGGACGATGGGAAATACCAATCACTCATTGGAGTTTTGAGAAGTGAGGTGTGTTTTTCCCTTGGAGACTAGAATTTCCAAAGTCTCCCCCGTGGAGACTTCAGAACTGGTGCAGGAGGTGAGACGGAGACGCCAAGAATTTCTGTTCTGTAAGAAGTCTTCCAAGCCCCACACGTGGAAGCAGCACATGAGCAAGCTCAACCCGTCCGTCAGGAACACACAACTCCAGGGCATCATATTCTCATACTTCTCTCCCTTTATGTTTGGGAGCCTAGGTGTCTTCAAAAGTAATGTAAAATATGGGGAAAATCTATCTAAATATGAATAATTACTTCAAGTAGAATTATGGGTAGCATTTAAAATTTTCTGTGTATTGGGTTTTTTAAAAAGCTTTTTACAGTGAACATCTATTACTTTTGTAATAAAAAAAAGTAACAGCTATTTTAAAAAATAAAATGGAAAGTGTCAAACATATATAAAAGGAAAGAAAAATACAAGTAATGGGTTGGCAAAACTACAGCCTGTTGGCCAAATTTGGGCCACCACCTGTTTTCTCCTGGTCCAGGAGAATTATTTTTACATTTTTAAATGGTGAAAAAACTTAAAAGAATCCTCTATCATGACACATGGAAAGTACAGGAAATGTACACTTCTGTGTCGGTGAAGTCTGACTGGACGCAGCACACTCCCTCATGCACAGGCTGCTTGCATGACGGTGTTGCCGCTGAGTGAGTGCAGAAGGGGGCACGTGGCCCACAAGCCCAGTATGTTTGCAGAACAAGTTTGCTGAGCCCTGGTGGAAACTCCTGTGTGGGCCATCCTCCTAGCCTCAGTGATGGTCCGATTTTGTTTTATCTAGGTACTCCTGACTGCAAGCAATGATGTTAAAGTCAATCCCAGACATCCTTTAATTTCATCATCTTCATGTTTAAATAAAAAACAGTTGAGAACTCATCAAGAAGATAAAATAATTATAAACATACCTGCAGCAAACAGTGACAGAATTGAAGGAGGAAATAGGCAGCTCCAGGATACCAGTAGAGACCTCAATCCTCCACTTTCAATAAGGGATAAAACCCACCAAATGGTAATTTACTACACACATTAATAGAATGAAAGGGAAAACATGATCATTTCCATTGATGCAGAAAAAGGATGTGATTTAAAAAAACACTCAACTAACTCCGAATAGAAGGAATCTGCCCTGACTTACTAAGGAGCATATAAAAAGCCCACAGCTAACCTTCTACTTGGTGAAAAAAGACTGAAATTTTCCTCTAAGGTCAGGAACAAGACAAGGATGTCCACTCTCACCACTCCTATTACATACACATCCTACTAGAAGTCCTCACCACAGCAATTAGGCAAGAAAAAGAAAAGGCATCCTAACTGTAAGAAGTAAAACTATCTGTTTATAAATGATAGGATCTTATTTGTAGAAAACCCTATAGATTGTACCAAAAAAATCCCAAGAAAACCAAAACCACCACCAAAAAGTGGAATAGACAAGCTCAGGAAAGTTGCAGGATACAAAAATCAATATAAAAACAACAGTTGCGTTTCTATACGTGAACAATGGAAAACTACAAAGGGAAATTAAGAAAATCCCACTTATAACAGCAACAAAGAATAAAACAGGAGTAAACTCAGCCACAGAGGCTAAAGTATTGTGCACTGAAAACTATAACGTGGCTTAAAGCAATCAGAGCAGGCACAGATAAACGGAAAGACCTACTGTGCTTGTGGGCTGTATGACTTACTAAGATGACACCACTACCCAAGGTGATCTATAGATTAACTGGACTCATCAAAATCTAGCAGTTTTTGCAGGAATAGAAAAAATCCTAAAATTTACATGGCCTCTCAAGGGATCCCAAATAGCCAAAACAATCCTGAAAAAGAATAAAGTTGCAGGATTCGCGTATCCTGATTTCAGAACTCACTATGGAGCTACAGGAATGAAAACAGTTTGGTCCTAGAATAAGAACACACAGACAGACACACAGACCAATGGGACAGGACGGAGAGCTCAGAAACAAACTGCCACATACACAATCATGATTTTCAACAAAGGTGCCAACACCATTCAGTGGGGGAAAGGGCAGTGTTTTCAACAAACGGTGCTGGGAAAACTGGATGTCCACATGTGAAAGGATGAAGTTGGGCCTTACCTGACACCATACACAAGTGTTAGCTCAGTGGACCAAAGGCCTAAACATAAAAGCTAAATAAAACTATAAAGTTCTGGGCAAAAACAGCAAGTTTCATGACCTTGGATTTGTCAACCATCTCTTAGGAGATGAAAAGGTCAGCTAACACAGAAAAAAGGGAAATAAGCTCCATCAAATTAACACTTGCATGCCTCAAGGACACAACAGTGAAAAGGCACCTTCATAATGGGGGAAAATACCTTCCACTCACATACCTGTAAGGTGTTGGTATCTAGAATATACAGAGAACTCATGCAACTCAACAACAAAACACACAACTTGACTAAAAAATGGGCGCAGGACTTGAATAGACATCTCTCCAAATACGACACACAGATGGCCAACAGCCACACGAGAAGGTGCTCCGGACCACTGATCACCAAGGAGATGCAAATCCAAACCAGCAGGAGACACCACCTCACACCCGTTAGGATGGTCACTGTACAGCAACCACCCCGGAAAGCAGGTGTTGGCAAGAACGTGGAGAAACTGGGGCACCTGAGCACTGCTGGTGGGATGGAGAAGGGTGCAGCGTCTGTGGAACACGGTGTAGGAGTTCCTCAAAATATGATCAGCATGGAGTTAGCGTCTGATCCACCAATTCTGCTTCTGGGTATTTATCCAAAGGAAGTGAGTGGAGTCCTGGAGAGATACTTGCACACCCATGTCCACAGCAGCCCACAGGTGGAAGCCACCCAGTGTCTACAGACAAACAAAACAAAATGCGGTCCATCCATGCAACAGAACAGGACTCAGCCCTAAAGAGGAAATCCTGAGACAGGCCATGGCACGGATGGACCCTGAGGACATGATTTAAGTGCAACAAGCCGGTCACAAAAGGACAAGTACCGTAAGATTCCAGGTATATTCTGCATCCAGGGAAGTCAAATCCACTGAGACAATAGATGGCGGGAGCCGAGTGCAGGGGACTGGAAGTTAGTGTCTAACGGGGTAGATGGGTGCCCAGGGTGGGCAGGTGCTAATGGCCTTCCTGGTGCCCTGTGCAAGCCCTCAGGCATTCCACTGGGCAGTGTCTGATGCACGAGGTAGGGATAAGGGCGGAGGGTGAGGTCAAGCAGGCACCTGCACACAGTTCATGAAGGAAGTAACAGTACGTTTCATAAACACGAGACCTTCTGCCTTTTAAGACTGGTTTTCAGAGGGCAGCACCCCTTACTGCTGGTAATTATGGAAACAAGCTGCAGAGTCCCTGTCACGGCCGTTTATCTTAGGGTGGCGGTGGCCTTACCTCTGAAAGAGAAAGGATTTTCCAAGAAAGGATTCCAAGCTGCTCTTCGGTAACCACGACCCCTAGAGTTCTACCGAATGTTTAAAGCAGATTTAACAACAGTCCTTCACAAACTCTTCCCCTAAAACGGCAGAGGGACCACTTCTAAGGCAAGCTCATCCTAAGTCTGCCAAGACATGTTCATCCTGAGACCAAAACAAGACAAGAACAGCACAAGACAGTGCAGGCAGACATCTATGAAAAAGCCTCAGTGTAATACCAGCAAACCAACAACTCTGTACAAAAAGGACAATTTATTACCACAACCAAGTGGGATTTCAGCCCAAAATGCAAGGATGGTTCAACGTACCAAAAGCAACCAATGCGGGGCCCCAGCTGGCTCAGTCGGTGAAGCGTGTGACTCTTGACATCGGGGCTGTGAGTCTAAGCCCCACGCTGGGTGTGCAGATTACTTAGAAATAAAATCTTGAACAAAAGCCAACCGACGCCATCACCACACAAGCAGGATGAAGGATGAAACCACGTGATCTCAACAGATACAGAGAAAACAGGACAAAATCCAATACTCTTTTATGATTTAAAAAATCCTCAAAAGCGTAGGACTGGAAGGTTAAGCCCCAACCTCGTAAAGGCGTCCACAGAAAGCACACAGCCAACCTCACGCTCAGAGGAAAGACCAAGCCTTCCCTCCATGGACACACGACGGATGTCTGCGTCTGCTGCTGGCTCGGCACCACAGGCTCCAGCTCGTGAGGCATCCACACAACGACCACTAGACTGAGCTCAGCAGGCCACGGGGCACAAAACACAGCAGCATTTTACAGATTCTAAGGACCTCATTTACGGCACACGTTGTGTGCAGTCAGATCATAAATGTCCTAAAGCAGACCCGGCTCCCGGTACAGAGACCTGAACGGCCAACAGTGCCGCGTCGTGAGGTGTTCAGAGGCCACCTCAGTCCTGTGTGTCCACAGACCGGGTGAGAAACGTCTTTTCGTGCCTTGAAAGGGGTGCGGGGAGGCAGCGTCTGGATGGGCTTCCTGGCTGGTCGCGCCTACTGGGGCCCCCCAGGTGCTCGTCCCATCTCCGGCGTAAGCGGACGCCTCGGCCTGGCCCTGTCGGGGACTGGAGGCACGTGAGACATGCTGCGGGGTCTCCAGCTCACAGTGTCCTCGGTTCTCCGTGTCCCGACCGACCTCTGGCAGGCCCCCCGATGGACGTAAGTACCGTCCGGTGTGTGAACTCATGACAGTTCTGCGTCTCGCCCCTCCCTGTAGGTGACTGGTGGCTGTCTTGGTGCCTGCGGCCTCGACTCATTCCCGTCTCTTCCCTGACGCCACCGAGAAGGCTGCCACCGTCCCCGGCCTGCCCGGGCCTCCCTGCCCCTGCAGGAGGTGCTGGCAGAGCGGAACGGCCGGGCTCCCCTCTGTGCTACCAACACGTGTTTGGGGGAAAAGAGCGCAAACTTCAGTGTCCTTCTAAGAAGAAACAATACCAAAAAAGACCAACACTGAAAACAGGCAAAGGACACACGTCAAGTAACTTACCGAAAACAAAAACACACGGTCGATAACAACAAGAAATGTGGACCCACCTTGTCCTTCAGGCAGGAAAACGGCGCCGGGGGAAGGGTTCTGCAGCAGCCATCGCTCAGGATGACCCTAACAGCTCACAGGGGCGGCCTGGGCACCCTCAGACCCGTGGTGCCATCACTGGGCTCTGCTCCTTGTTTGCCTCAGGGGATTGACGGCCGCACACAAGCTGGGGGACAGCAGGAACCAGCAGTGCCCTGCCGGCCAGCAAGACCCACGTTTTCAAACATGCTTCTGAAAACACGGCTGGTTGTCAAACGGAAAGGGGAAACAGACGCCCCAGGCTCCATGCCGCGTCCAGAGGGCAGCACGTCCTTGGCCCTCAGCACCAGGTCAGCACAGACAGCGACACTGAAAAGCCAGAATCTTTATTTACAAACACGCAAAACCGCAAGCCATCTTAATATGCTTAGAAGAAGAAAACATTAGAGGAGGACGGAGCAGTGACTTTCGGGGGTTCACACCGCTCTCCCACAGCGCGGGGGTGGGAACCGCTCTTTGTAGCAGGAACAGTGGTCTCGGGGGGCAGGGTGACGGGGGACTTGTATATTTCATAACACCTTTATTTTCAAAATCATCTAAAATAGACATGCATTATTTTAAAAATAAAACAACCTTTTAAAGGATTAAATCAACGACATCAAAACCACAGACACCACTTTTTCAGGAAGATGCAAAATCAGTGAAGTCAGATGAGTCGATAAAGACGATTTATTACTTTGTCTAGGAAAGCACTTCCAGGACAGTGAAGGGGAGGCTGCGCTGGGCGGTCCCACCACCCACACCGTGGCTGTCCACAGACTGACCACGGACACAACGGTACCACACAGCACCCTCGGCGCACTTCGCATTCGACGAGGACTCACTTGGACACAACCGATGCTGTTACGATACATATTAAGAAAAATAAATATTCTGCGCCCATATTTACAAGGATCAACTGTTCTGTCCCCTGCCCCTAATTACTACAAAATCAGGAAGCTATGGTTTGACAATTAAGCACAGCATTAGCTGTTAGTGTCAGTCTGGCACAGACGTGGTGCTAAAAATCCAGAATCTTACTGAACCATATTTATAAACACGCAAAGGTACAAACCTTAATGGGCTTAGATGAAGAGGACTTTTAGAGAAAGCAGAAATGATTTTGCTTGGGTTCTCCGACCCCTTTCACAACAAACCAAGGCCCCTGCCATGTCCAGGCGGGGAGGGGGGAGTGTGTTGTCCGTGTTCAGGTCGCTCCCCGGCGACGGCACAGCGCGGTGAACCCCTCCCACCGGGAGGGCGGGCTGCGGGCGGGCGCCCTCAGAACTTGAACAGGTCGATGAAGTGCTGCGGAGACACAGGCATGAAGCAACTGTCGGGGTCGGTGGCGGTGCAGGGATGCCCCGAGTCCTGCGGGAGCAGAGGAGAGGCGTCACCACAGAGCACCCGGCCCCACCACAGCGCCGTGTGGAGCACGCGGACCCGCGCTCCGAAGACGGACAGCCACGGGGACCTGTCGGCAGAGACAGGTGGCCCAAGCCAGAGGGCCCAGGACCAGGGTTCCCGGCCTCCCTGGCCTGGCCCCACACCTCCATTCCTGCGCTGTCCCTCTGCTCCCCTCCTGGCGCCCCCTGGGAGCTCACACTCGCTGGAGACGGGGATCCTGTCCAACAGGAAGAATGGCTACGGGAACAGGTGCTCTGCCCCTAAGACCGACAAGCTTAAAAGGAGGAGGAGCCTAAAGAGCACAGGCCAAGTTGGCCACGAGGCACCTGCCGTGGGGCCCTGGTGCCTGAACGAAACCTCACGGACACGACTACAGTTTCCCCCTCAGGACAACATCCCCCCAAGGACATCCCAAGAACGGCTCAAAGGGGCGGTTCTGGCCGGCTGGGAGCATGCATGGACGCGACACGAGGCCTGGTCTAGCACAGAGGTACCTTGAACAACAAAGCAAGGCGGCAGTCCTTTGAGATCATGGAGAAAGAACCAGGAGGAGTGCAGGGAAGGGAGGGAGAGAAAGGAAAACCAACGTTAGAGAGCAGGCTGCATGGGCATTAGCTTGGACGGCAATGATCTGCAAACGCAGGTGAAACCGTCCAGTAACTCAGGGGGGCAGTGAAGACGTTTGTAAAGCCAGCGCGTCGAGCGTGAGGACCCGACCGTCCTGACACCAGGACCGGCACTGCCCTTGCCTCGGGAGCCTCGGCTGAACACTGGCCAGGCTGCAGCCCGAACCGCTCACGACTCCCCAGAGCACACGCAAAGCGAGGCTGGAGTCTCTAGTTTGTACCGAAAACCTCTAACACATTCTGGAAGGTCATTCGTTCTCCCTCACATCCCCGCATCTGCTTTGCCAAGTGCCCACCGTCCACCGTAGACACTTTCACTCCAGCCTGTGCTTTGTCTGTGCCCCATCCACGCAGCCCGCTGCCTTCCCACACGCTCCCCAGCCCCCCGTGTGCCGGCCGGCCCTGCGTCCTGTAGGCATAGCGTGCGAGCAGGCCGGGAGCCTGCTGCTCATCGCAGAGCCGCCTGTGATCTCTCCTGGGTCCGCCCGGGGCCCCGGGCCCGCTGCAGACACTGGTTCTGCATGTACTTTGGTGGCAGATGCTCCATGACAAAGGTCCTGGCCTTACCTGGCTCCCCAGCCTGCCCACACCGGGCTTGCACTGGTGTTTCGCACAGAGATTCGGTTGCTGCCTGTGTAACCACTGAGGGAGGGTGCCTTCCCAGAGGCCTCCTGAGGCCCTGAGACCAGACCCCACCCAGGGACCTACTCCTCCAACGGCACCACGAGGGCACCGTTGTGGGTTTGCGTCGGCCCCACTGAGCCCCAGAGGCAGGGACGCAGGGAGCGGTGAGCCCGGTCCCAGCGGGTGAGACCCCCGCACTCCTCTGCTGTGTCCACGAGCCCCTGTTGGGTGGTGTGCACACAGGCCTCCCCTCGCGCCCCGGGGCTGGTGATATGGGCCCGCCCATGCCCGCCTGCGGCCCCGCTCCCCCGACACACCTGCCACTCCCTCACCCATCCGACCCAGGCGAGAACACGCCTGCTCACGGACGCTCTGCGTACCGCCGTTCCACTGCGGGACTGGAGCCCTACTGAAACAGACGGCAGGCACCTAGAAAGAAAACCCCACGTGACGCTGCCGACCTTCCAGGCCCTAAGTAAACCTCCATTCAAGTAACGCGGGAAGCACCCTCCACACCGGGGCACTCACGGCTCGCCGCGGGCCATCTGAAAAGCACGAGTGACGCTACCGTCAATGTACTCGGAGAAGAGAAAAACCTCAAGGGCTTGTCTCCTTTCCAACAACGCAGAGTTTGCTATGTGAGCCGCCTGACAAGTTACAGATAAACGCACAGCAAAAAGCAGAGCAGGGACGGTGCTGACCAGGCAGGAGCCGACGGCCATCCCCCCAAGAGCGCGGGGGGCCACACCCACGCGGGCACACACACAGATCACGCTTGCCGTCGAGCAAGCAGGGACATTGCAGGACAACTATTCGCGGTCAAGGAGGCCGTGGGAACACATCCCAGGATGAAGGAGAACGGACTGTGACATGAACTACCCTCCGACCGCGGATAGACCGAGCCCCTGTCTGCGTGGCGGGAAGTCACGGGGTGAAGGGCTGCCCGCACCCCAGGGTACTCGGATTCCAAGTGTGAGTCGGGAGACGCCGGTGCAGCTTTGTCAAATACGAAAACCACGTGTCGCTCTGAGAGGCCAGGACCTCCCTGCTGCAGGGGCTTGGTGTGGGGGGAGCTGCAAGGAGGCGCCCACACGGGGTCCCGGGGGCAGAGGGCAGGAAGCCAAGCGTGGGGCAGCCGCTCAGGGGTGTTCTTACTTTACAAAGGACGGGGACGCTCTGGCCCCTTCCTGTCAGGCTGGCAGGAACGCAGCACCGCCCAGGACCAAGTGCCAGGGGCCCCGGTGCCCTGGAGACCCACGTCCCCGAAGCAGAAACAGACGCCTCACTGCCCGACGTTTCCGACTCAAACCGCAAGCTGTGTGGTTTGCTCCCGTGAGTCTACTCCCCCGCCCCGACACCCGGCGAGATCAGTCTCACGTTCTGGCCGCCGAGCACACGGGTTCTGGCGTCCCCACACCCTCACGCCCAGAACAGAGGCAGGCTGTGCGTGAGCCCACCGAAGGCCCGAGGCGGTTACCTTCCAGAAGAGGATGCTGCAGTGTCGGCAGAAGTGCAGGGTGTCCCCATACTGCTCCCGGGGCGGGTAGTGCTTCTGGAGCGCGAAGTACATCAGCTTCCACTCCACGTGGCCCTTCTCCGACAGGATCAGATGTCTGCAGAACTGGCACACAGACGCCGCTGAGCACCTGCCCGTGGCTTCACAGCACACCGGGGCCCCGTGGTGTTTCAGGGCCACGGAGTGCACAAGCTCCAACTCCCGGGGACTGAGTCGGCGAGGGATGACCACGTGCCCCACGGCGTGTGTACAGCGGGACAGCACGTGGCAAGCGTGAGCACCCCGGTCTGAAGGACGCCCACGACCTGCACCGAGTAAGATCACGTCACCCACGTGAGGTGTCTAAGGACCTGCACCTGAAGCACATGAGGAGCACTTGCATCTCTGTACGAAAGACCACCTGATCGAAAACGGGGCCAAGGACCCGGTGCGGAGGTGGCCGGGGCGCCACACTCCCGTCACCAAGGACGCGGACCAAGTGCCACCGCACGCCCGCTAGCTCGGCCACGATGGAAAAAAAAAAACAGTAACGGGGGCGCCCGGGTGGCTCAGTCGTTAAGCGTCTGCCTTTGGCTCAGGTCATGGTCCCAGGGTCCTGGGATCGAGCCCCGCGTCGGGCTCCCTGCTCAGCGGGGAGTCTGCTTCTCCCTCTGCCTCTCCCACCCCCCTGCTTGTGTGCTCGTGTGCACACGCTCTCTGATGAATAAATAGAATCTTTAAAAAAAACCACCACCCGGTAACCAGGAGCACTGGTGAGGGTGTGGGGATGCCAGAACCCGCGTGCTCGGCGGCCAGCCATGTACGATGGTGCCGCCGCTGGGGACAACGGCGCGGCAGCTCCTCCAAATTTGACAGCTGCACGGACCCAGGATTTCCACCCCTAGGTGCACACCCACGTCCACACAAAAACGTGGACGGCAGTGTTCACAGCTGGAGAACTCGTCAAAGCCACAAGGTGGAAACGACCCTGATGTCCACCAGCCGTGGAGCGGAAGCGGGGTCCGTCCGCAGACGGCGTGCTGACCAGCCCCGGAGCGCGGTGGGGCGCTGCAGGCTGCGGCTGGGGTGACGAGCAGGCGGCCCGCAGCGTGGTCCCACTGGGAGGGGAGGTTTTCCAGAGCAGGGAATGGTGCAGGGACAGGGGCCGGTGAGGGGCCGCGTCGGGCTGGTGCTCGCTCCCGAGGAGACGCTGCAGCATGTGAAGCAGCAGGGCGGACAGGATTCAGCCTTGGGAAACAGGGGCTGCCTCCTCCGCGAAGTCGCTTCTCTGTCTGCTGCCCTCTGGACCCCTCATACCAGCCTCGCTGTCCCCAGGGCGTGCGCTTCTGAGACCCACCGCACCGGACCAGCCCCAGCGCGCTGGCCTCTCCTTCATCCACGCCTGCGCTCCCAGCCACTACCCTCCTCCCCGCCACTGACGCGGCTTATCCCCCCTGCAGCGGGCCCCTCCAACAAACCCCCTGCTCCCAGCGCTTCCGCCGCCCTTCTAAGTCCGCCGGGAAAGCCCCAGGACGTGGCGTGGCCGCTGCAGCCTCGTGCACAAGACTCTGAAGGCCGGAGGCGCCCGCTGTTTTCCCAAGGACACCGCACCCCCAGGCCCATCCTCTCAGACTGACAGCCTCCCCTGGGCCACGCATGCCCGATCCCGTCCTCCTGCTCTTCTGTCCGGGCCGTGGGCAACCCCGCCTCGGACGTGCTGCATCTGGGCATCTGGCCCCCCCACACCCCGCCCCATGCCACCCTGTGCGTAGCAGGTGCCCCACACGTGTGTGCGGCTCTCACGGAGGCCCACGTGATGAGTGAGCACACCGACACCCAGCAGCTCACACGCGAGGGCGCTTCGAGCCAGTTCCCACCCTGGGTCTGCAGGCGCGGGGTGCGGGGAGGGGAGGCCGGGAGAGCCGGGTGCAGACGCTGGGGCAGGCGAGGGACGCACGCCAGCCTCCCTCCAGGTGACGCGTCCCGTGCGCCAGGGCCCGAGGCCGCCACACTCACCTGCTTCTCGGCAAAGTGGTACTGACAGAGTTTCTTCCACAGATGCCTGTCCTCGCTGAGCATGGACAGTGTCGGGGTCACCTGGCCTAGCGTGACGATGTCCCAGCCATCGGAGAGTCTGTACAGGATGTTGTTGAGCATGTGCAAAGGGAGGTCACTGAGCGTGAGGCCGTCGTTCACCTGCGGGAACGGAAACGGACAGGGTTTCACTGCGTGTGATGCCCAGGCGTGCCAGGCTCCAAGGAGACCTAGCGGCCCACTGAGAGCGGGTGCTTCCAAATGCAACACAGCCAAAGAGACACGACCAAGGCGTCGCCGTCCCTCACACTCGGCCACGTGAGCCCTGAGCCCCCATGTCAAGAGACGGCTGGCCGCACGGGGACCCCGGAGGAGAGGCGGGAGCAGAACAGAGGCCGGTCTGTGCCCTCGGCTCCTCCAGGCTCTGTCCATGTGCAGGATTCACTCGTCAGACACGACACAGAGACCACGTGGAGAGACGGCAGGGTCCGAGGACAGAGGAAACAAAGCCACCGACCTGCCACCAAGGCCCTGTCCAGCTGTCAGCATCTGGTATCAAAGGTAGAAGCCACACCCTCCCTCCCACAAGCCTGCGCGTGTGTCCCCAAGAAAGGGCGCGACATGGTGGGCAGAACCCGTGCGTCGTCCTATCGGGAGGGAGGGGAGGACGCAGATGGACAGAAAAGGGGAGCGCGAGGGGACAGAACGGGGGGCCGGCAGAGGGGTGGCAGAGGGGCGGGGGGCAGACGACAGTGTCGCAGCCCCGGGCTGGGCACGCACCCACGCCACCTCGCACAGAACGAGCCTGCACACCTGGCCGCAGCCTCGTGCTTCTGACGGGGCTCATGTCCTTGTCCCCAGTGGTCAGCCCTGATGACGGCTGGCTTCTTTCCGGCTTCTGCTCTCTTCGGTGACCCCAGCGCCCCCGCACAGAGCGCACATCCAGAGACATGGCCAGAGCGGGGCTGCAGGGAGGCGCTCAGAGGCCGGCTGTGCCGCTTTCTGAGTCCTTGCTGCTGTGGCGTGGCCATCCTGTTCGAGAAATGCGCTCCCTGTGCTGCGTGTGCGGGGACCCGGGAGGAGGCGTCCTCTGCCGCCCGGTGGGGTGACGGCTCACGGCTCGTCTCGGAGGACGCCTTGGCGGCAACCCCTGGCCGTGGGGTCCTCGCACCGGCTGCCCGTCTGGGGCACAGCCGGGTGCCCACGATGTCACCATGCAGCGTGGTCACGCGTGTGTCTTTGGGTCCCGCCATCCCACGGCCACGTGCGCCTGCTCCCCGACGGGCTGCACGGCGTGAGCGGGTGACAAGGGGCTCACACGGAGCAGGTGTGACCACAGGGTCTCGTGGGCTGGCCCACGGCAGAGCACACACAGATCACACACGCCAGGTCTTCACGCTGTTACAGGAACGACGGAGACGCGTTCTGAACGGCTGCTTGGTGCCTCCTCCTTTGAAGAGGAGCTTGCGCGTCAGGAGGAGCTCATGGACGCCCCGCTGCGAACATCCCGAGCTTGTCAGAGTGTGAGGTGCTAGGAGAAACCCTGGATGCACGAGGCGCGAGAACCCAGCACCGTGACATGGTCTCCAGGCCCGAAGTGACCGCCGACAAGACACGTGGCCGCCACACCAGCAGCTTCCGTCGAGACGGCTGTGACCAGTCCTACGTGAAGGGGCACGAGCGGCCCGCTGGACAGTCCATTGGGGGCGCGGGGCCTTCAGCTCAGCCCCCAATGCCTGGCTCAGCCATTTCCCGCATGAACCCCTTAACCGCATCGCTGTGCGCGCAGGAACACGGCTCTGGGAGGCCTCACTAGCGCAACAGCCACAGTGCTCCCCGCTCCCGTGGAAGCCGATCTGTCCTCACTCGGGTCCCTCACGCTGCTGTAGCTCCCGGGGGACCGAGGACAGAGAACCTGGCGCGTGAGGGGCTGTCGAGGGCTGTCCCGCCTCCCGCCCGTCACTGCCTCAGGGAGCTCTTGCCACCTTCCAGCACACAGCGGCAGCAAGGGGTCTGTCCCCACGGGCTGGACCCCGGGCTCAGGCCCCAGGACTCTCGCACCAAGGCCCCTCCCGTGCACGAGCTCGCCTGACCCCAGGACACGCACCGTCCCGGCTGTGTCCTGCCCGGGCTGCTCGGCTCCCAGCACACAGTGACCCCCCGAATCCAGGCTCCCTCCCATCTGGCCACACACTTCTCTTCCCGAAAAGGCCTTCGGCCCCTGGTTTTGCAGCGGCCGCCGGAGCTCACGGGGCCACATCTGTGCATGTGAGAAGTCAGCGTGACCGCAGGAGACACCATCACCCCCGGCCGGGGCCGCAGGGCACAAGGCCACAGGAGAGCCAGCTCCGAGCGTGCGGCCGGGCCCCGTCAGGACGGCGTGCCCACCACTGCCCTCCGTCTGTGCTGCCCCCAAGCTGGTGTCAACAACAGAAAGACCCTAAAGGAGGCCAGTGGCTTTTTGGTCGTGCCAGCCGGCCGAGGCGAGGAGGAGAGACCCCGCCTCTGGTCTTTCCCCTCCCGCCCCCGTCTGTGCTGAACACACACTTCTCTCTAAATGGCGCACTTCCCAGCCTCAAGCTCCCTTGCTGACCACAGAGCCCCGCTGGCCGCCTGCCCCCAGCTCACTCACTGCGGTGGCACCACCATGCGGGCCGGCCACGTGAGGGACCAGTGGGACCTGGGGCGTGGCCGTTCGTGTGAGGCTTCCACACTGTGCGCGTGTTCACCTCACAGACGGACCTCCCGACCACAGCCCTCAGCCGTGGAGGACACGTGTGACGGCTCGTCTGGACCCGCCTCACCGGCGCTGAACGCAGGACTCCCCCTTGTAACTTCAAGCCGTACTTAGGGAACCTCGACTCCTCTGTAAACCTCGTGTTTACACGGCAAAGGGCTCAAAGCTGAGGCTTCCCATGGTCACTCCCGACAAGAGCCGCTCTCACATGGGGCCCCGGACGCAGGGGTGAGCACGCAGCGTCACCACGCCGGGAGGGCAGTTTGGAGAAAACGGGTCGCCTCTCGGGCCCTGAGAGACACGTTCCATTTATTCTTTCTCTTACAGAGCCCCAGGGAGGCACAAAATACCCCAAGACGCGGACCTGAGCCGACAGTGTTAACACCCCTGCGGGTGAAACTAGTTCCTGGGATAAACAAACCCGAGCAGAACCAGCGGCGTGACCTGCACCATCTTCTCCCCTGGTCGCCCCCGTTCACTCTGCCCGAGAACCACGCACGACCCCAGAGGACAGCAGGGAAGGGGCAGCAGGGACGCCGCGTCGCGCGGAGTCACTGGCAGAACAAGGCAGCCGTGACTCGGGGGTGGGTGTCTTAGCCCCCAACGTCTCATTTTCCCCCGAAGGCTCGTCACCCGTCCCCTTCTCCACGACGACCATCCCCACTGTCTGCCCAAAAGCAATCTACGCCACCACAGGGCCTTCTGGCCCAAATGCACCTGAAAACAAACGTTCCAACAAGCGGTCAGGGTCTTTCACGCGCCCCTGCGGGGGCTGAGGACTCTCGCATGTGACCCAGAGCGCGTCCCGCACCTTAGTGACCTGCAGGTTCTGCAGCTGCTGCTGCCAGTGGAGGATGGTCTCCAGACGGCAGATCCAGATGTTGATGTTTCCCACCAGCACGGACTTCCCGACGCCCCGGATGAGGATGCACAGGGTGGAGCTCAGGTCCTGCAGGAGGTCCTTGATGAGGCGGGGGTTCTGGTGGTCGTCGAGGACTGGAACGCACAAGAACACAGACTGTGGGAAGGCGAGAGAGACCCAGCGCCACGCGTGGACACACCACGGAAGGGGAAGGGGGTCCCGACCCGCGCCCAACATGTGCGAACCCAGGGGGCGTGGTGTCGACGGGACGGACCCCGCATGACTCCGCTCAGAGCGGAGGGGTCAGAGTTTGATGGGACGGAGGTCAGTGTGGGACCACAGGACGTTCTGGTGGCAGGTGGAGAATGTGCTTCATGCAACCAAACTGTGTGCTTAAAAATGATTAAAATGGAAAACTCAGGGTATGTGTATTTCACCACAATAAAAATAATGAGCTAATTTCACTGCGACCCCAAACTGGCATCATTTCTGAGACACAAGTGTGATGAAATTTAAAAGAACATCAAATATTGCCTGATACTGTGATTCTAGTTGCATTGACAATTTTGGCTTTAAAACTGGCAGTGTCTGTTTTCCCTTACACTCATCCCAAGGAGCTTACACACGTGATCATCAATTCCCACACACGCATAAACTCATGGCGTGAGCGTTAAAGTTCCTTTTACTATCGGCGAGTGATCGACCAAGACAGACCTAAGATAAAGCCTCAGGCTCATGTGAGGCCACGCTGGTTACGGAGGCGCACGGCTGAGGCGACAGGTGAAACTTCCCTGAGACCCGGGGGTTCTTCATCCTCCTGTAGGAACAGCCCGTCCAATACGACGGCGTTACGTGGACGGAGGAATGAAGAGAAGCCCCATCTCCTCACACTGCGCTGGTTATCAGACACGTCGGTCACCAACTTACCCTTCCGGACAATTTTGTCCAAAATGTTGAAGTAATTCTTCTGCGCCACGCCGCTCAGCGACGTTAACTGGGATTTCGCAATTAGCTGCAGGAGCTGAAGGAGGAAAGGACGCACGTTACTTAGTTTGCAGGCAGAAGCCACAGGGCCCTGCCGCCATGCTGCCTTGTCCTCTTCAGAGACCCCACGCCTGTCACTGTCTATGGCGTTCGGTAGTCTCTGAGGGTGGGACATGGTTTCAATGGGCAGATCCCAGGAGACTTTTACCTCAGGCAGGTTCTCCCGAAGGCTGTCTTTAAACGTTTAAAGACGACGTTCCTGGGACCCACCTTTCCCTTTGCGCTCCGACCATAGGGCTGTCTCCGTGGCCTCTGCAGCTGAGGGGACCTTTGGTGTCCCCTTCACACTCACCCTGTGTCCTCCTTCCTCATCTGCCCACCCATGCCCCTGCATCCCCGTGTCTGCTCCTCTCAGGCCCCTCATCCACCCCACCAGCGCCTCCCGTGCCCATACAGACCATGTCCAACTCCCCACACCCCCCACGGGGATCTGCCTCCATGGCCACATGGAGGAGACAGGACAGGACGCCGAGGGGCCGGGTGGCGGCGTCACGGCTCCCTGATGCGCCTCTGCTCAAGCTGCGTCCTGCACTGGTTCTGCAGGGACCCCAGTACTGCTACCCTCCACACAGGGAACCCAGAGCCGGGCCCCCCTGGCCAAGTGGGAACACACCTGCTCACTTCTCCCCGGGCTGTTCCCGCCCGGTCGACACCGCTGTGAGTAATTACGCCTGCCTCCTGGTTCCGTGAACACGGATGCCCTACCTGCCCTCCCGCTCACCTTGCTGGTTTCCAGAGGGAGAAAAGGAACACACGCAGACTGCGGGTGGTACAAATAGGACGATCACGCAACCATCTTCGGGGGAGAAAGCATCTAGTAACGCTTCTGCAAGCGTCCCCTCCTGCAGTGGTCACAGACACACGCCGCAGGGCACCGCCCACAGCCCCGGGCACATCAAACCGGACCAGCCTGAGACAGGCCCAGTCCTTCCCCCGGCTCCAGATCTTATCACCCACAGGTCGCCCCCACCTGCCGGCTTCAGAGAGCCTTCAGTGACGTAAAATTTCATAATGTGATTTTTAAAAGTCTTCTCAATCTCACACATTTAACAAAAAAGGAATGTAACGGAAACTCTGTAATACAGAGCGTTCTAACCAACCGTCCTTAGCCTGAGGAGAACCGTGACCCCAACCCTGGACCCCCGCAGTCTGGGCTGGTGTCCTGGGTTGGCTTCGGGGCCTGAGACACCCCCCTCCCCCGCCGTCCCTCTGCTCAGAGGCCAACGAGCGTCCCGACACAGACTGTGTTTGAAACAAGCCTCCCGTTTGGGGATCAGCTTGAGCGCACGGTTTGTGAGTCGGGATTCCCACTTCTTGCTTTGTCCCTTTTCTCCCCTTTCCCCAGGACTCTTGTCTTATTCACAGACTTCTAGAAGCGGCAGAAGGACCGCTATTTCCTTCAAATTATATTGTGACGCAAATTACAATTTTACTCTTGTTACTGGACCCCTCGGTGGCCCTGTCATCATGCAGGGTGTCTTGTTGACAGTATCGGTGTGGGGACAGAGCCGGGCTGGGTCCCTGCAGACCCATGAGACGGACCTTTCAGGTTTCTGGAGGACGTGCTTCTGCCCTCTAAAGAACAAAAGCCCACATTCCCAGTGTTCCCACGCCGACACGTACCCATCTACCATGATCATCAATTTATGCTGCATCACTAAAAATGTCAGACCTAAACATCGAATTTAATTTTGCTGAGGTCAAAGTATCAAGTTAGTTGGAGAGCACTTTCTTCGACTGAAAACCGGTGTCTCTCACAATACCGAACGTGAAATACGAGTATCTCAAAATTACATACAGTTTTAATATACAATTTTAAACAAAAGACACAAATCATAAAACTATCTTCCAAAGGTGATAGAACGATAAACAGAAAAGCCGGGAAAGGGTCAACCTCTGAGGAAGAAAATCAGGCCACGAAGACACCCACGGACGGCACGTCGGCCGACACATTGTTAGGAATGTCCTACTTGTCCAGTCACATGCTAGACACACACACGCTCATGATACTATCATATTGTAGTAAATATATTCTTTACTAAAGTAAAACAATGAACAAGAAAAACAGGCATCTGCATGAGGCCCCACACTGTCATTTCTTGGTCCCTCCCCTTTAATGAATCTTGTTCTTAGGAGAATTGACATATTTTGCTAGTAGCTTTAATCCAACATGTTTATGGGGAGATGATTTACCAAACACCTGGTGTGGTAGCCTACAGCTGATTCCTGAATCGACAGTAAGGAAGATTTAAGAAGAATATATCTTTTTTGTGCTAAGGAACACAGAAGACATCTTTTTGTGAAGAATCTTAAGTTCTATAACAAAGAATGAACTTTCTCCATTTCTAAATATCCAGTTTTCTTGAAAAGAGGAGGAACTGTAGATTCAGTAAAACAACCAGTAAAAATTTAGAGTATCCTACAAGCCAGTTTGTACCTTCAGCAGAATTTGTGGTGAATATTTAACAGCATAGGAAGTAAGTGGCCTAAGTCACCAAACAATTCACATCCACAGCGGCTCGTTCGACCCGTTTGCCCACTTTGGGAAGAACACGCACCCCCTGATCTGCAGGCGCTGGTCGTGGTGCTTGGCGGGGAGTGGGGTTCCTACATGGCGATCACTCCCCTGCGACCAGCAAAAGTGTGGCTCAACAGGATCGGGAACCTTAGAATTCTTTTCAACAGTTCGAAAGGCCACCATTTCAAGATGTCACGGACACATTTAGGAAAGTCACTTGTTTTCCCTGAGAGGGAAAGTTCTTAAAACTAAGAACGGCAAGGTCTCCATCGTCGGGGCGGTAGTGTGTGTGTCCCCTGGCCCCTCCTATGCCCTAAGGCACGCCTCCCCACCCTGACATCTCGGGGCATAAATGGGCCTGTCCACGGCTGTGGCCCCTTTGTCTCAGTCACCCTGAAGAGATCATCCCAACACAGCCAACATGGAGCAGGGTACCATTTAACCAACGCACTCCCCACGGCAGCCTTCAGAGGTTCAGAAATGTGCCCGGGGGCCCCGGTAAATAAATGAGACTGAACCCAGACAGACAGCAAGGCTCCCTGCCCACCACCCGCCTCGGCCCCTCCCTGTGCACCGTGGCATCAACTGGGGATACCACACAGTCCTCGGCCAAGGTTAGGAGAGAGCTCAGAAATGTTCACATCAAGAGATATTCTAGGGGCACCTGGGTGGCTCAGTCGGTTAAGCAACTGCCTTCGGCTCAGGTCATGATCCTGGAGTCCCGGGATCGAGTCCCGCATCGGGCTCCCTGCTTGGCGGGGAGTCTGCTTCTCCCTCTGACCCTCTTCCCTCTCATGCTCTCTGTCTCTCATTCTCTCTCTCTCAAATAAATAAAATCTTTAAAAAAAAAAAAAAAAAAAAGAGATATTCTAGCCACAGAGGTCTTTCTCCTTGTCTTGTCTTCATGACCCCACTATTTAAAGGATCTGTGAGACACTCCGGAAACAGGGAGGAGGTCATCCTCCAAAGCAAGTAACACTGGAACACAGACGTCCAGGACAAGAGGGGGCCGAGGCCGCGAGGGTCTAGGGAAGCAGCTGCCTGAAGACAGAGGGGCCAGCTCCAGGTACCAGGAGCCCACTGCGGCCCCTGCGGTCCCTGCGGTGGGGGAGGCGGGCCTTCCTTCTGGAAGCTGACGAGACAGACACGAAAAGCTGATTGGTAACGGAGGGAAACAGAAACAGATGATCCCCTGAAAAAACCTTCCTCCAAGAGCAGGAAACATTCTCTTAACTTCAAAACTAACTCAGGACACAGGCCCACCGAGGAAGAGCCCGGGGGGCGCCCCCCGGCAGTGGCACGCTCTGTTCCCCGACCGTCCACACCCGTCAGCAAGGGTCCCAACGCCAGCCCCAGTGGCATCAGGGTCGTCCACCCCTCCCCCAAAGTGAAGGTTTTCACAGGTTCCGCTACTTGTCCTCCAGCGCTGGGTCAGTCTGGAGCCGTGGCTGTGAAGCTGCCGTCACCCTGGACCCGGACGCTGGCTGCACCTTCCACGTGACACCTCAGGAGAGCATCCAAGCTTTCCGCAGCTGGAACCGTCCTCTCTCAAAACACTGTGAACAGTCGTGCTTGGGCCCTCAGGGAAGAGGAGCATGCACAAAACATGGCTGTTCTTCCCGCGGGTCAAACACCCTGCAGTCCCGTCAGCCTCCGCTGGAGCTTCCCACGGCTGTTGGGGCCACGCGCCAGGCACTGGGTGCTGGGAACACGGGAGACCCGTTGTCTCAGCTCCAGAAGCTCGGAGCCAAGCCCTGCGGCTGCCCGGGATCCAAAGAACCCTCCTCAGCCCGCCTCACCCCGGCTTCTGGGGGCACCCGGGGGAGGCCCTTCCCCGCCTCACCTCGGGCTCCTGGGGGCTCCTGGGGAGGCCCCTTCCCACCTCACCCAAGCTTCTCATTTTAAGGCTCCATGTGGACACAGACTTTTAGGGTTTGGTATTCAACCCCACAGATCCACTACTTAGAATTATTTCCAAGGAAAGCATGATAATTCTGATGATTCGAATGCAGCAGTTACATGGAAGGTCAGAACAAAGTACCCACCAGTAAAGGACATAAACAAAACTCCACAACTCTGAACTTTTCATGTGAGCACCGTGGGCAAGACGTGGGCCTTTTGGGGCATCCTGGGGGTCCGGCCCTCCCGCCCATTCACACTGCATCTTTCCTTGGGGGGCGGGGGGGGCGGGGCAGAGCTGCGCAATCCTGACCTGCTGTATCCTCCTGGTCGAGTTACTCAACCACCCCTTACAGAAATCTGGTTTCCACCATTTAACTTTCTTTTGAGCCAGGAAGCTGCTGAAATATTCTTTCAGAATACCGTATGCACTTTTGGAAAATCCCACCTCTCCAGTGAAACGCTGCTACCTGGGGACTCTCGGTCCTGTGAGACACCGTCTCGTCTGAACTGGAATCTCCCATGACCCACCTCTCAATGACTAGCCTCATGGCTTCGTT